ATCGAATGAGAGGCGGACACGTCATCGACACACCCGCCCATTGAATCATCGCGAACAGTGTCTTTAAGCTTGACAAAACGAATAGGAGAAGGTGCATCACGAGGGAGTACAGCAAGTGTCGGGGTAGTTTCCCATCAGCAAATAGCTCACTTGGCAGCGTAAATATATCGTCGAGCCGGTCACAGGTCTGGATCCTGGACCTAGACCCGCTAGGCTCAACCAAACCTCCCACCTCTCCGGCTTTACTAGGAAGTCTGGGATGTTAGACTAAGAAGCACACAGTCCCTCACAGTTGGACAATTTTGAATGGAAGTCGAGCCTATGGACACCCGATTTGCTCTTCATTCTTTCGTCAGCTTCTTGACTTGCAATACTTCACTATTAAATATTAAACGCCTTTATTTCATTAAACTTTGCCTATCACAGAGTGAATCATGCATAAACTGTACACCACGAGATCGCTAGATATTCGCATTTAGTCAACTCACTACACATAAATTTAGACTCTANAAATTTAAAATTTAATTACACTAAACAAGCCCGTGCTTGATTATTTAATTAATTGAAGTTAAATTTAGACACTTTCTAAACAGCTGCACTTTCTTGTTAAACAGGGTCAAAATCACGAAATGGGTTTCACGAAAAGTTATTGCGACGTTGGTTGGAAAATTAGGAAGATTGCAAGGATCCTTGTACCATTTTCTCATTTTATCCGTCGAAAAATCATTGATAAATACATGTTACAGGTTTTAGGTTTTAATTACCATGCGTGTAGACTACATTACCGATGGAAGAGATTGAATGACTGGAGCCGCTTTGGTATCGCGATAGGGACTCCTTCAGCAGTCTGGGTGTCAATAAATGTTGAAGTGGTGGAAACTTCTCTATTGATCACCAGCGCAGCCTTCGTGCGAATCGTAGAGCTTCGGAGGTCCCGGCGAGAGTGTCCATAGAGGAGGAGCGCTAGTCACGACGAAAGTCTTCCAACGAGCCTTTGCAGCCCCTCATTTAGCACGTATCTGAAAACAATTGTTTCAGAAAACCAAACCTAGTAATACTCAGAAAAAAAAATTACCGAACTCGAATGTAGTAGTCATTGTGGTAGTTGCATCCACGGAGGGGGGGGGGGGGGGGGGGGGGGGGGGGGGGGGGGGGGGNGGGGAGGACGGGTTAGGCTTTCGCTGAGCTTGAGCTTCCGCCGCTTTTGTATCCTCCCGTGGTAGACATTGACGAAAGCCACAGACACAGAGGGCTCTACGGGAGGCAGAACGGGAGCTCCTGGAAAAGTTTTCTGCGACAGTGGGCTTAGAGGATATTCAGAGCTAGACGGAGGTGAATCCAGCTGGAAATGCAGAGATAGCTAAGATTATAGCATTAGATAAAGCTGTTCGAAACTGCTATCAAGAGAACAGAAGAAGAAACGTTGACGTTGACGAAGGTGCCTACAGCATTCCCAACGCCCTTTTATAGTAAAGGGGCTGGACTTTGACCTTCTATTTTAGTCTTCTATATTGTCATTAATGCATTATCAGGATCTGGATTTGAATCTTTTCTCTCTTTGCCCCTGAACTTCTTGGTTGTATATTCGTAGTTACACTGAATACCTTTTTTCGAGCTGATAGACACCCAAAAACCATTCGACAGTGAAAAGAATGCTTCAGAGGTGAATGTGATAACGAAGGTCACTCTCGGATGTGGTCGAAACAAGCGCGCGGGAATCTCTACCGAAAAATGGGGGAGGTGGAAGGGGTGGCCATGAATGTTCCTCTAAGATCGTGTTTGGCTTTGGGAATCTCTGCACTAGCTTTCATGCACGCCATCAGGAATATGCTTCAGCTCAGACGGGGTACTTGAACCAACCTCGCCATCAATGATTGTTAGTCGATTTGAGAGAGGCCTTTTCTTTTCGCTTTGATCTGTTCTGTCAGCGTTTCATGACCATCGTTTGGTTTTTTGTGAAAAATATACGATGATCGAGTATTACCGACGAGTGCAAGCAGATTCGTCGTCGTTGACCTTGAGCTGAGCAAAGCGTGATGATATACCAGCTTGTTCGAAGTTTTTCATGTCCCGGTCATCTCCTTCAATCATAATCATTGGCATTATGTGAAATATCTTTATTATGCAGAATTTACAATCGAGTAAACACTTATAAGGTAGCAAGAAGTTGATTATGTGGAGAATAATTCACTGTACATATACAGAACATATATACTTGTAAGGTATAAAATTGTGGTCTTCAGATGCCGTAGCGCTAAATACTGCAAAATCCTCATGATTTGCATTGCTTTCTTTAAAGTATTGAGTTGACCTCGTTAACGGACTCATTCACTTCAAATATAGTACTGCGGACAACAAGATATGCTGGCCATCACTTCGGCTACTACTATGTTTGCGTACATTTCGTGGTCATAGTAGCAATCTTACTTACAGTGTTCTATCTGTGAATCCTTCCGCTCTCAGCGATCCCGTTCGACGCTGATCTCTATGGGTTGAATCTAGAAGACTCGGTTCCTCGGTAATTCCTGCGGAGTTTCCTTCATCTCTGCTTGATCTCTAGGAGTGAGTCTTCAACCAGCACTTCGATTTAGGCGAATGATTAGGAGCCATGATTAAGATTGCTGGGCCCAGATCGCATCACAGTCAGTTGTGGGTGGCTGCCATTTAGCCCACTTCAACTCATTGACATCAATAGTTTCGCAAGTAACTCAGAAATATTGTGAAGATTCCATTGACATTGGAAGATCCGTAAAGGTCAGTGTTCCTCCTATGTACCTAGCTATTCATAACTATATAGTTGTTTTCTCTACTGTTTTCTCTACAAAACGGTATGAGTGGAGAGGGAGAGGAATGGCTTCGTTCCTCTCAGAAAGGATATTCATCTAGCAGCCAGTTCCATTCGCTGTCTACATCATGGAATTTTGCCCTTTTCTGAGATCAGTGTTTTGTGCCTCTCAAAAATAGGTCTCCTTGATTATTAGGGTACGTTCTAGACATAGAAACGATTTCTTACTTACCGCTTAATTTCGATAGTGTGGTGGTTCTGTAATTTTACTGTGCGCCGTGCAACCGAGCAATAAAGTTAAGCAGCTCACTACAACTTCACCGCAGAGAGTACAAAAAGTCTGGATGAACACCTACGTTGTTTTCGAATAAAATCCAAAATTAAAATTCATAAGTCGAGAACTGTACCTTAGGTAATGTGCTGTCAATTTTGAGCAGTGTTCGCTCTAAGTATGTTACCTACCAACTTTTCAACGTCATTGCTTCACTCACCGAATTCGATCACTGTTGTCACTGATTTTCGAAGAAACACATTCACGCGCACACTTCGAAACAATCCATGCGCCTCCACCCATAAAGAGCGGAGCCCTGCTCAAGTCCTGCGTGTTCAAGTAACTTATACCCACTTATTTCAAGTTCGTATTTTGCTCACACGGTGCTCATTCCATACACGCTCTCCCTCCCATCCTCCGATCCCTCCCATCCCCCTTCTCCCGGATATAGTCAGTTCAATCAATTCTTGCTGCCTACCATCAGCATTCCCATCATGTCGCCTGTACTCCCACCAATTTTGATTGCTTTCCGTCCTAACTGGCAATTTCCAGTACGCCTCAACCCTGTGGGGGGAGTCTACTCCTACTATCTACCTAGGTGATTCTATGCTGTCGCCTGGACATCTACCATGTTTTTACCCTGAGAACAGGAGTTATGAGTTTCCGGACAAACACACACCGACAAATCAACAGACACAGTGCGTTCTATATAGCACGATTATTTTATATGAGAGCAGTGCAACTCCCTGCAGGCATAATACATAAAAATCTGAAAGTTGATGGACGACTCTCAAAACCTTTGTAACCGCAGTCAAGCTGAATCGAAACATCAAACGTTTACGAATTAAAGCTCAAGAATATGAGTATATTTATCAAAGATGTGTCAATAGATAAACCGAAAAATGGTACAAGAACACTTTCAGTCTTCCTACTTCTTCAGCCAAAGAGACGCCAGAGAAATAGCTTAGCGGAATTTCGTGACCTTCATCATGTCATAGGGTGAATATGCTATCAGACAAGTATCAGGATGGCAACTGGTACCCGCCTTATCTTTTCATTACTTCAAGCATTTATCGCAAAAGGTAACTGCCCGTTTACAGTGATTTCCTGCTACTGAACAGTACCAGAGTATTTCATGGTTATTTAAGAACAGAGAGAACGTTTTTGTATAAAAAGGTGATCACGCTTCTCTAAAATATATCCAATTACCTAGTTGCCATCCTGTTATATGATAAAACCGAGAATGGGCATACACACATTCTATTAAGCGTAAGCGTCAGTGAGAGGATACGCGAAAAAATCGAAGAGAACGCGATTGATATGTATTCAAGAAATAAGCTACATAAGGAGTAAATCGAATAGACCAAGAGATTACAACGATTACCATCGAGTGGCAAATTTCATTCAACCACGTTGTCGCCATCCACAGCTAAAAACAAAATTGACGAGAAACGAAGAGATACCGAAATTCGTAAGGTATAACTACTTCTACTGAATTAGCAACACTCACCTGCTGGTTTTGAACACACAGTTGGCTCAACCGATGATGGACCACTTACTCCAGAGAATGGAAGGGCTTGAGAACAAGAAGGAGCGCTACCATTGCTGAGCGTTGAGGCTGGTCGACGAACTACAGAAGATGATCGACTGCGAACCTTCACGCAACTAAGCCCGTGTGTCTGGACATTGCTTACCCTGAAAGATTTTACAGTAAAAAAAACAGGACGCTTCGAAGTAGGCTTGTATTACTTGAGGGGCGTCCTAGCGGCAGCGTTCTTGGGAACAGCTAGGCGACTGATCATTGCGCGTTCCCTTTCCTTTGTCAAGACAAGCTTGGACCGTGCCTCTGTAGCCGAGCTTGCTGTTGAACTAACTTCTACTGTCGAGCTTGTTATCGAACCGCTCTGGAAATTCACGTGATAAGAAGGCTTGAAATGTCGATGAAGTCAAAGGTGAATGGGCAGTTATTTTCGAAAATCACAGGATTTGATATATGTGATGCGAATACGGAAATGCACTGTATGTACACATTGGTTAAATCCTCGAAACACCTTGTACTACCATCTTGAGCGATTTTGCCCTAAATTCATATCCCAATGGATGGTTGGAGGGCGATGATGGGGTGCTAATCCCTACGATAGTAATTAGTCAATTACTCTCCAAAACTGCCATTGAGGCAATTTTCTTCATCTGCTTCAGCTCCCACAACATTTGGAAGCTCATTTGGATACTACATTAAGATATCGTTTATTCCCCAAAAGTAAATGAAAACAGTTAAATACCGTAGGAGCAGGATGTTGACGAAGCTCTTTGCTGCGAAAACCACGTAACGGAGTACCATCTCCTTTTTCTCTTGGTAATACCGGGGTGCGACTTATTACAGTAGAGCGAGGTCCAAGTGGCCGAGGATTCTCGTTTCGGATGACTTGTGATGTGGTTCCCTAAAATAACCTGGAGCTCAAAGCTACACTAGAGGAATCTACTCAAAAATTTTGTTTGGTATAATAGACTAGACGAGTCTTTCAAGAGAACTTCCGGACGCAAAAAAACATAACGAAACATGTGAACGATAACCTGCTGTGCGCTAGTGCTTTTTGGTATTGTAGCTCCACTACGAGAAGGAATGGGCCGACTCGACGATACAACTGGAGTTTTTGGCCTCGTCACGCTAGGAGGACGATGAGGTTTTGCAGTGGTTCCAGCGCGAGGAGCACTAGCAACGAGACGACGAGTTCTTGAGGTGTCTCTATCTGAAAATTGAATTCAAATGAATGCATAAGTAATAAAAAATAAATCTTATCAACAATAAAAACAGAAATGAATGGAAAAATGAAATTTACTAGCACTCATGACAGCCGAAGCAGTACATGCTGCCTTGTTATCATTTCTCGGAGTTGAAGTGGAGCGAGGCTTCGGCCCCAAGCTCGAAACACGAGTGACCAACTCACGACGGAATTCGTTCTCGCTCGGAACAGTAGTACTGCGTAAAGACGCATCTTAATGGGGCCAGTTTTAATTTTCAATACAATATCAACGAAACTGTCATTTGCAGGGGGGACGGTACGAACGTGCGTCCGAGGGTGCGCGCGGCAAATAACGCGGCGAAGTTCGTGACGATTTGNCTCGGAACAGTAGTACTGCGTAAAGACGCATCTTAATGGGGCCAGTTTTAATTTTCAATACAATATCAACGAAACTGTCATTTGCAGGGGGGACGGTACGAACGTGCGTCCGAGGGTGCGCGCGGCAAATAACGCGGCGAAGTTCGTGACGATTTGTATGACTCTAACGCCAATTTTCGGGGCACAAACTCTAAGTAGAGTGGTTTATTAGGGTCAGATGATCCTCCTGATCCACTCTATTTCAAATTTGGGCCCCAATGATAGGCGCCAAACTCGTTCAAACCATTACGAACTTCGCCGCGCAATTTGCCGCGCGCCTCCTCGGACGCACGTTCGTACACATACCCCATTTGCACTGGAGCCTACTAAGATTAGCAACCATTGACAACTCGCACATAGTATACCTTTAGATTGCGGACATCGACCGATACGCACAGGGTCACTACGTAGTGGATTTTTAGCTGAGCTACTGGTATTTGTTCTAGGCGCTCGATCACGGGCACGTCTTTCTGTACCAATTCCAAGTTGGCTTACGCCCTTTGCGAGGTTCTGAACCAACAAAGTCTTAATAAATGGTAGAAAGTGTGCAGAAACTTGCACTCAAACGCACAGCTACTTGATCGGATGGAGTAGAGCGGGCCTTGTTAGCTGTCTCATAACTGAAAAGGTTATTTAAACAAATCAATAGATATTCATAGCAAAAAAATCACGACATACTTCAATCCAAGCTCTTTACTGCGCGCGCGAGTAAGCGGCCCTTCGATTAAATTACGTCCTTGTCGACTAGTTGATCCATGAATGCTGGAGTGCAATGACAACAGATATTCGAAGTAAATTCTCTAAACTCACCTCATTTGACTTGTAGTGGACTCAGTCGAAGCATCTGCTGTGAGGGAAACTTTTTGTTGAGTATCAGATATTACTCGTACGGGGCTAAAAACTACTTTAAGCTATACTATTATACATATAATTTGAATCGATGCCACCATTGCGAGTTGTTCCAAAAACAACTTTCGCGGAGGTAAATATCTGTTATATTCGAAAAACGATCTCAATTGGAAAAGAACTCAGCAAATACAAATAGCACTGCATAGGTTAGCAAAGCCTTTGATTGTAACCCACAAAACATATGAATAAGCATACCCAGGCCTTGTTCCTGCTGTGTGCGGGCGTGTAGGGACAACTTTCCTCTCTCGTATGCTCACAGGTGTTAAACGAGTTCTTGCGCTCGAGACGCTAAAGTAATAAATGGCTATCGATAGATATTCCATAATCAGGACAGAAGGTCATTAATATTGATCCTATGTGGAAATTGAGCAATTATAAACGTACGGGCCAGTCCGCTGGGAACAAGAAGAGCGCACACTTGTAACAGGCGCTGGGACTGCTCCACGACTTGGCGTTTCGCGTTGTGAGCTATGCCTGCTTGACAACGGTCTGCTTGCCGATGACGGTGCTTTACATGAAAAAAATCAGTTTCTGTCACTAATTTTACTTCGTACTAATTTTAAAGTAAGCAGAAAAACCCCAGGACTCGCGCTGCTGGTTTGCAGCCATAACCGAAGATTTTTATGTGCCAGTGAGACCTACTAAATTACCTCCTGCTGCTTTTTGTTCAAGTTGGATTTGAGAACGGCGAAGCACCTTCTTCTGTTTGCCAAACATTGCCAAGCGGCTGAGATCCTCTGCAAAAAAGATTACTTGCGAAGTTCAGTGGACAAACCAAAAAGCAGCATGTTTACCAATATTTTCAGACGCCTTGGCCACGATTGGCTGTAGAGGACGGTTTTCATTTTGTATTTCGGATGCGGTGGCCTCAACCGGTTGTTGAGGACGATTTACGTCCTGAGATGGTCTTGAATTGACCTGCGGATCGTGCTCTCTCTAAACAACAGGCATTTTTTGCCAGAAATAGTACTAGAAGAATTCAGATATTGCGAAGAAAAATAAACCGTAGATTGCTGCAGATAAGGGCTTAGGGTTACGAGAAGTGTTTGAGAACAAAAACTTGCCTCATCTTCCGCCACTCTGCTTACTGAATGTATAGCCTCGCGTCCATTGATGTCGCCTAAATGCAGTGGAATTTCTAAAGGACACTGTATCTTGGTATCATTCGAATTAGCGGATGAAATTTGGAAAATATGGCTAAAAGGTTAATTCTTAGGACCTAAACTCCAGTAGTAGCAGAGCTCATTTAGACTTTCTTTTTCCTTTATTAATCAGCGCTCCAAAATAAGCGATTACACGTGGGCACGTATAAAAGAAACCCTGACGAATTAAAGTAAAATGCCGGCGAAAAAGAAAATGATACCCGCTCTATGTGCTCGAGCTCCCTTCTTCTTTCACCCTAAGGACGAACTACTTTTATCGTTTTGGAAGTTCCATCAAAAAAAAGTGAAGACACCACGTTAAAACAATGCATAAAAGCAGTTTCCCGTGCGCGATTTCCCAAGCGAGTGGAAACGCTGCACCATCACTTCTTGAAGTCAGGACGTCTAGTGCCCGCAATCAATTACTTGACCCTTTACCAAACTAGGCAGTGCAGCTGACCCTGCGATTCTGTCACGTTTCCTCAAAATTTCGTAAACGAACGTGCAAATAATTGAAATAGGTATTCATTGTTTGTTATTCCTTATACTCAACAAATAGTGAGGAGCGCAAGCCACCGTTTGCCCAAAGGACGACATTTCCTTCAGGCAGTAGCCCAAGAAACAGGTGACAAGATCATGATCAGGGCACAACCGTTTGCCAAAAGGACGATATAGGCACAGACACTCACCATGTGTTCTGAAAAATTCATCACACAGATATTCGGGGAGGTCTTCTTCCAATGATCCCCAGCACTTCGCATTAACGTGATCATATGTTGAATCAGACAGTTGATCAGACATAACTGAAATATAATAAAAATAGCACGCTTATCCAGGAGTTATGACAAGAAGTTGGAGAGATGGATACAGGAAATGGATTTTTAGGACAAGAGACCAAGCCTGGAGTGTAGACTCAGATATACAAAATGCTTCCAGGCCGATGTTAGTTCTAAGGGCCCAAGTGGAAATGAACTGCAATATTAAGAATATGCTGATAAATAGAGGAAAAACAGAAGCACTTCCAAAACGATTGTTAAATAGATCTTCCGGACATCGGATTTACAAGTGAAGAGAATTACTACAGTCTGAGCCACCTTCAGGAAGACCAACGTCTTGAGCTGGCTTTTCAGAACTGTGCAGGTAGAGATCTGTATGCTGAAGAGTAATAACAAAGTGATGGAATCATAGAAACCTGAGCCTCCCCACTCCACTTTCGACATCTAACCGTCCAGGGTTAATCAACAGCAGCACGAATTGAATTATTTCCCGCCCTTGGCGGCACGGCCATTTGCCAGAGGCCAAGCATTGGCTGTCGTCCATGCATCTGGCTTTCGAATTTCTGAATGACCGACTGCCGATATTTACAATTCCACCACAAGCTTGTCATGAAACTTTTGAACCTCTTCGTCGGAAAGATTGACTGCTGTTGCTTTGCACGCGTCACTTGAATGTATTTTGTGTTTTGGTGTTTTCAAGTTTCATAGTTTGCAGTAACTTACTTCTTATAAGTGTTGTTTTATTTTGATTTCCTGATTTAATTCATGCCTCTTTGTTGTCTAGAATGAGTGGAGATGGGAGCTCTAACTCGGATAGCGAATCTGTGACTAATTCCAAAGAAACAACAGTCTCGAAGAACAATAATCACACAGAGACTGGCGTAAAAAAGGAAAAACGTGATGATCGAGGTATTTCAGTCATGTTATCCTTTTATCGACTTAACTTTCGTGATCAGTTCAAATCAAATTGCTAGCATTATTTGGGGGACGTTTTATTGTGCCATGCCTAGCTCCTTTTAGCTGCTCATGGTTTAATCCTTTTCTACTAATCATCTACGGCTACTTTATATTTGAAAGGATAGTGGGGAGACGCTGGTTTCCCTATGAAGCCCCGCATATTCACTACGGTTGTTGTGAAGGGAATTTCGAGTTTACGGTTTTTCTTAATTAGCGAATTCTTTTAACTTTTTGAGACATTCCCACTACACATTTGTTACGTTGGAGAATAAAATCTTGTTAAAGTCTTTCCCCTTGGACCTTATGCATAAGAAGCACTATGTAAATGAACATTTCAGAAAGGTCACTTTCCCCTCCTCCAAAAAAATTCAAAGACGAAGACAATCATGAAGACATCAAACCGGCAAAAAAACCTAAAGATGATGAGAAAGATAGTTCATCCAAATCTCTTGAAAACCGCAGTGAGTCCTGAGGTTTCGTTTCTGCTAAGACCTCTTTTCCCAACATTCCAGTGTATAAAAAATTTTGAAGGAAAAGAAAAACGCGATGATGAAAAGAGAAAGTCTAAATCGGATGCGGGCAAAGAGAAGGAACGAGAAAAGGATAAAAAGGCGCGGAAAGAGAGATCACGGTCAAGGTTCGTTTCAGCATTTCAGCATATTCAGCTTGTTTTTTTTTTACTCTTAGAAATTGATCTTCGTAGTTGGTCTTATTCGTAGATCTCCTGATGCAAAACGACGAAGGAGTGATAGAGAAAAAACCAAGGGGAAAGACAAAAAGAAAGAGAATCATAGCGATCGCAAGGAAAGACCAAAGAAGGAGAAAGAGATAGTTGATGAAGAAGAGAAGAAAGATGGTGATTTGGAAGAGGGCGAGGTTTGTGACAAGCCTTCTATAATATTAGAATCTTTCAGTTGTATAAATTCTTTGCTTGGAAATGTAACCTTTGTAATTCTCATCTCTAACCTCATTGGTACTTTTCAATCCCAAGTTGGAAACTACTATATAGTGACGAGCAGATCGATTTTCAGGTAGTAGAGCCAGTACGACAGCCTACCGCTAGGGAACTTGAACGTCTACGGCTTATTGAACAACTGGTGAGTTTTCCCGGCTCCCAACTCTGAGACTGGGGGTTGCGCACTGCTGACTGTGAGTCCTTTATAGGCAAAAGAAGATGCGGAAGAGAGCGGTCCCTCGTCCTCGGTCCGTAATGTTGAACAAGCTCATGATTCGCGGGCTTGTCCATATTTGGATACTATTGACAGGTGATATTTTCAAGCTTTGCAAAGATTTTGATTACTTCAACTCCGCTACGGTCGAAGAGCGACCATATTTCTTCAAATATTTTTTCCAGAAAAGTCCTTGATTTCGACTTCGAGAAGCTGTGCTCTGTTTCTCTTTCGCATCTCAACGTGTACGCTTGCATGGTCTGCGGAAAATATTTCCAGGTATTTTATGTTTCACATTTTTCAAGCTGTGAAGGCACCTTGATCGTTTCTTGTTTGATTTTTCTGAACAAGTTCATCAGACTAGTCTAGGGGCGTGGAACGAACACTCATGCCTACACACATTCTTTGGATACTGATCACCGCGTATTTCTGAATCTTCATACTCTCAAGTTCTACTGTCTCCCGGATAATTACGAAGTCGATGACCCTTCCCTCGAAGATATAAAGGTTCGATTAGTTCTATATCTGTTTTGCCTTGTTTTGCATCCATTTTGTTCTGGTTGGTTCAATCTGGGGTCTAATACGGTTTTCTTGGTGTTATCAACCCTTACGCATCTCGATAATTCTTCTTCAGGATCAAGCCTTAATATTATATGGGCAAGGGGGTCTTGACCAGAATAAACTTCTTTTGAATTCACTTTCCGAAATTTCAAATGAATCAAATATCAGGAACATTTTTACTGTACAGATCAGCAGCTTCTTCTCAACTTCCGAGCAAAACACTAATGTCTTTTGACCGAAATATGTGGCCTTGTGACCGGAGGTCATTGATCACTATATCCAGGTGATCAGAATTTACGAGCTCTCTTCCTCCGTGTGGTGCGTAAATAGGGGAGCATAAGATCATAAGATTTGGAACTAGCGGAACGCGTTGCTGTTCTCATGGTGCCTTCATGATGGTTTTGGACGTTTCTCTCCAATAGCGTTCACCAAATGCTGCATTAATTGTAACTAACTCGTCTGCGTTCAGCAACCCATAGCAAATAAGCCCTTTCATGTCCCACTAAGTCAGAAAAGTTGTTGAATTACCTCAAAGCAGATCTTATTTATGTGTACATCTGGTTTTTGACCTTTTTTTCTCTGCAATGTATCGTTAACATTCTTTCGCTGTTATCCCTCTAGGTGAACGACTTTCGTATTGTTTCGTTTTCAGTACGTGCTGAAACCTACCTACACGAAAGAGCTGATAGCCAGCTTAGATCGTCAACATAGAATGGCTAGAGCGTATGACGACCTAACATATTTTCCTGGCGTTGTTGGTCTCAACAATATCAAAGCCAACGATTACACAAATGTGGTTTTGCACGTGAGTTTGCCGTTCCATGAACTCTTCGGGCACAACTTTTCCACAGTTAATAAATCTTGATCTCTTAGGCTCTATCGCACGTGACTCCTTTACGTGATTACTTCTTACGTGAAGAGAACTATGAGAATATCAGGCGGCCTCCAGGTGATAAACTCTCTCTCTTACCAAAACGGTTTGGAGAGCTCATCAGGTTTGAATTTGTTAGGCAATCTTTTCGAAGGTTTTGCAAAGCTACATGTCGTTGGGATAATTTTAAGAAAACTCTGGAATCCGAAGGCTTTTCGCACACACGTTTCACCTCACGAAATGCTTCAAGCAACAGTTCTATGTTCCAATAAGAAGTTTCAGTTCATAAAGCAAGGTACACTTTTCTTATCTTCGAAAACTACCGAGTCATTGTGTGTTTCCTCGTCTGTTCTTATTATAATTTGGTGGAATTTTATAATTCCTACTGAAGGTGACGCGGCTGAATTTATGAGTTTCCTACTCAATACCTTGCACATCGCCCTCAACGGTACACAAAAGTCGTCATCTTCAATTATATACAGGTTCTCTTGAAAGTTGCGTGCAACAGTAGTGTTTCAGTATTCCTGTTCAAGTTTTTGAACCTGACCTGTTTTTCAGAATTTTCCGCGGTCGCATGCGGCAATATTCACGGCGTGTGATTCCAGCTGAAGCCACGGAAGAGCAAAGGTTGCAGTTACTGCAGCTACCGGAGTACAACGGTGGGTTGTCGAATTGTATAAGTAACGCATCTACATGTAGTCTTAAACAAATATGGGCTAAGTACGGTGTTTCAGAAAGCTCTAAAGAGCTGCCGTTCCTTTACCTCGCTTTGGATCTTCCACCAGCACCACTTTACCGCGATGAACAGATGCAAAATATCATCCCGCAAGTGCCCCTGTCCGTGCTTTTGCAGAAGTTCAATGGAACGACAGAAAAGGTATTTTTTGATTTGGCATTATGTATTAGATAAGTTCTCCCCAGATGATTCAAAAATTTGTGCTTCAGGAATACAAGACGTACAACGAAAACATCATGAAGAGATTCGAACTGCTCCGCCTTCCCGAATATCTTATTATTACTTATAAAAGGTTCCACAAAAACCAATGGTTTGTGGAGAAAAACCCGACCATCGTGAATTTCCCGATCAGGTATGATTTCTTTTCAACTGCAACCTACCACTATTCTCGTGACTGGCTTGAGGTTTCGTATCATTTCCAACACGTCGATATTTATTTTTCATTAAATGCTGTAAGAAATCAGATTTGAGAAAAAACTCCATTCCAGTCTTAACGGCTCGCGATATAATTGACATCTTTAGAACGTCTTGTTACGGTTTTCAGTAATTATTTTAATCGTAAAGCGCCTGAGTATCCCTGATATATGAATAGTCTTTCTATGACCAAAAATCATTAGTTCATATCATCAAGTACCCTCTCTCCTGAGGAAAGCCAATTCATATGCACATTAATGTATCAGAGATCAAGCAAAAGCAAAATTTTTCAGCTTCTTGTGGATTTCGAATCTGTTTTCTTAGTTTGTCCGCTTTTTTGTTACCGATGGCTTTTTTAAGAGCTTATTTGAACTGTTCAGTAATGTGGATCTCTTTGACTGTCTTTCTGAGGACACACGTTCTGATCATAAATATACAACCTACGACCTAGTTGCAAATATTGTTCACGACGGGAAACCTGATCAAGGAACCTATCGCATCCAGCTTGTTCATGTGGTATGTATGTTCAGCAACTGTTATTTTCGAGGTCAAGCAGGGAGTTCTTTTTTTACCAGATAGCCTTGTTTCCAGGGATCACGGAAGTGGTTTGAACTTGAAGATCTTCATGTGAAGGAGATTCTTCCACAAATGATTGTGTTAGCAGAATCCTATATTCAGGTAGGGCTGTGCTTTTTATCAGATTCAGGCTTTTCCCCTTCTTCATGGGTTGAGCATCATTCATTTCACTTATATTTACTCTGCTATGCTGCCTACTGTCTTGTTGGAAGGCGAGGAACAGTGCGGTAATAGGCGATTAGATCGAACTATGGTGAAGACAGAGCTTTGAGCTGCAATTCTACTTCAGCTTAGTTTTGAGCGCTATCCGTTGAGCATTGCAAATATATCAGCTCTGTTTTTAGTTTCAGTAGTGGTCTCAGTCGAGAATTTGGCTATGCGTAGTGTAGGAGTCTTCTGCGACTCGCTTTAGATGTTCTCATAACGAGTGAGACCGTGCTGCTTGTACGGCCAGTGTCCCAGAGCGAGCCGGAAAAGTGGTGAAATGCGGGTAAAAATTGGTGATGAAGTTGGTTGTACACTGCAGCTTTTTATACTCCCTGTTCTATAGCTTATTTATACTGTTCTCGATAACTCACATACTTCGGATCGTGTTTTTTTTTNTTTTTTTTCTACGGGGAACAAAACAACCTCATTACCGTCTCCTTGTATAACTCTAATGGTGTTTATGATTGGTTAGAACTAAATTCGAAATTCTTGCCACTACTTTTTTACACATACGTGCAAGCAGTCGCTTCACTGATTGTCGAAGGGATTATGCTTTGAAAAATGCAAGAGGGGCTTATGCTCCTCTTTCGTTTATAAGATTCACCATACGATGAGTCTTCTTACTGAACTCGAAATTTAGATATGGAAATTGAACCGTTTGAAGACGAGAGAAGAACGTATGAGTGAAGGTATCGATGACGATAGTTCAACATCCTGAATGCATCGACCAGAGACGACTATAGAAGATATTCTTTGAGGTTTTGATAGCCTGCAGTAGCTCGTGCATGATCTCCGAGGGTTTATCATTGTGGCTGGTAATCCGTGATTACAAATTGCTTGATGCTGTCCTGGTTGGTGTCTTGTCCCAACATGACTATTATCACTTTGTTTTGTTTAAATTAATCATTTGGTTATGTGATTCTGTTAAATTTGAATAGTAATTTATCATTTCTTGTTTTGATAGTTGGACTTCATCTGGTAAAAAGTTTTGTTATTTGTTTACGGATGTAGGATAAATTTTGAGTAATACGTAGCTAACGTTTAATATCGTGACGAAGTCGGTAGTTGTGTATTCATGCGACTCCATTTTGAGGATATTTGCGAACCGCGCCCAGCTGTCCCACACCATGTACCCCCATCTGCTCGTCGGTATTGATCCAGCTGCCTGCTTTCTCGTCATTGTGGTGCTCTAGCTCTAACATTCTCGTGGGCGGACATGAGTCTATCGATAATAGCCCTTCTACATTGTTAATTTACCTCTTTGTCGAAACCAGTAAATACCCATCGATTTATGCCCGAATCGTGTAGAGTTGCCCATAACATTAACTTTGCCGCAATGAAAAGGGTTGTACCCTGGCCTAGTGTTTCATGCTTGTTTCGCCGAGTGATAGCGTTGAGTTGTTTGACGAAGACAGTCCTCTCCTGTAAAATGTGAATTTTCTGAAATTACGATGTCCCTACAGAAGCTGGAACAATTTTGTCTGAAAAAGTTGGTAAGCCTTTGAGTCAGATGGTTGTTGGCCGCTTGGCTGAGTGTGGAAAAGTTTTTCTCTGAAGGAGGTGTTATTTCATTGTGAATTGCCTGATACACTGTTTTAAACATCTTTTTTTTGGTTGTTATCAAAAGTACTCGATAAGGTCGAACTCAACTGGTATTTGTTTCTTTTTCTCTTACTGGTAACGGAATCATTGATCATTTCGTATTATTGCTCTCCTCTCCGCCACCTTACAGGTGAGGAATAGTAAACATAACTGATTTGTTTAGTTTTTTTTCTTGTTTTTCTCTGCAAAGGGCTCGAAAGCAAGAAAACTGCCGAGCCCGAGGAGTGTCTTCGCTTGAGCGTCGCTCGTTCGTTGTCCAGTTGCTGTGGTCACAAGAATGGATTGTCAGGTGTATATGCCTATTCCTTGTAGCTTTTGAATGTTGCAAACTTTGTGGCATGCGAATTGTAGTACTGAGTTGAGTCAACACTTCTGCTTCTTACTGCTTCTTTTCAAATGGTTGCAGTCGTGTTCGAAGTGTCTGGCGGTGGTGACATCGTTTCCACTCAGTTTTTCAAACCAATCAGTGATCCTGAGCATGACCTTTGTTTTTCACATTGTTTTTCAAGGTTGGTGGTTTGGCATGGTTTTTCTAAAAACTACATCGAAGGCCATGTGGGACGATCGATGGCTAAGTGATTTGAGTCTCATTGACATTTGAACCATAACTTACTTTTGATTTCATGAATAAGTCTGTGCCCTGTAGTTCCTAAAGGATTTGAGTTGCCGATATTTTTCTTGAACAATGACTTGAAACCAATTTCGCGTCCCCCGTTTGTTATGTTAGTAAAATGTTAACTGGGATAAAGTGAGCCACTATTTCCCTTTGTAAGAACTCTTCAACTCTTTGGTGTTCCCTTGCCTTTGCATAGTGTGCATGATTTCATGTCGGTTAAGCTTCCATTCGAAAAAAAAAGCCACGTTACATCGAGCCACATCGACAGAGCTCGGAATTCTGTAAGTGCACGTGCTCAAACATCTGTTTTACAGCGCAAATATTGCGAATCAGTATTCTGTGAACCACCGCTGCTGGCCGATGGTAAAAAACACATATTTGCCATAGCAAGGTACGCTAGGTGTTACAGTAGCTTTTACAATGTTCTATATTTACTTTGTTCTGTTCTGTAACAGATTCTCCACTATTTGTTTTGTCCCGATCTCTAATTCCAGTTCGAAATTCGTGGTTCGTTTTTTGTGCTTTTCCTTCCTACACTACTTGCCTCATGACTTGCGAAGGGTTGCGTTTTCTTACACATGTATTTTTCTTCTTTCCTTTCTTGCACCCAACTTGATTTGCACTTGGGTGCACTTTCTTTGTGGTTGAGTGACTGCTGGCAGGAGCAAAAGGATTTCATTGAAATTCAAGATTTGATTTGCCTTGATTTCATGATAATCATTTCTTTGATGTGTACTTTAGTATAAAGTGCTTGCTGGACAATGTCGAATGATTGTCGCGCTCTGATCATTTACGGGCCATTTCTCGAAGTTGCTTTCCTTAGCTTTGTTATTTCTAAGTCATCAATTAATTACGTTGAAATATGAAGAGTCAGCTGCTCGCACCGACTTCTCCATTCGATATTTGATCGTTCGTTTGTGATTTGGGAGGATGTTTTGGTGTATAGAAGCAGATTGGATAAGCGTCAGGAATGTACCCTGTCTGTCCGGCAAAGTACACAGACAGGTTCACTATCTTTGCCTTTGATAGCTTATCATACACACACATTAAGTCGTGGTCACATGGGCAAACTCCACTCAGAGGAGCGATAATAGTAGTTATCAGTTCAGGAATAACAGCTTATTCTCTAGTGCAGTGTTCGCTTTTCGAAGTCGGAGCAGTGAGCAGCTGCTCGACCAGGTTGGATTTTTTTAGAAGCGAACGAGAAATGCACAATGCATTAATGTTGATGCTCGAAGTTTCGCTCTTCTGTAGCCAGCCGCCAGTTGAGACCGTGGTCCGCATTGTGATGACTCGCACTTAATCGAGATACAGCATCAGCACCAAGACTGGCACTGAACTGGTCACGCTGGTTTCCAGGCATGCATTCTTTACGGGCTCTGATAAGCAGTGTTTTCCTGAGGCTTGCTCACTATCAGCGCACCGTACACAAAGTTCTCTGCCAGGTCCTGGTTCAAGCATGATAAGCGTTTCGCGGGAAACTTTCCATTCAGCGGCACCTTTCGCTACAGAAGTGTACGATTCAGCGATTAAGCCTTCCCTAAGGGCAGTATTCCAACCTAATGTGGCTAATTAAGCAGATTACTGTAGAAACTTGTCACCCCACTCGAACCTTCATAATGCTGGGCATATCTTCTGCATTGACTCTGCAGTCACGTTTTACCTGTTAGAAGTCTGCTGATACTGTCAGGGAACAAACGCAAAGTGAGAATTAGCCGTGACCCAACTTGTTTGGTGAGTAAAGAAGCCGGCCACGTGGGAATGGTTTTCGCCCGGTGCTGTCTAGATGAGTTCGTCCGCTATGGTAAAGCGTCCTCATCTAATGCGTAGGTGGGTTGTTCACAAGAAAATATTAGGGATAGTGAGAAGAGAAATTCTTCAGAATTATTAAGGCATGGCCTTAATTACTATCGCGATCACTTCGAGACTAAAGGGATGTTCGTAGCTCTAATGCTTGATTATTTTCTTAACGATGATTGTCAGATGGCCCGAGTGTGCCGCACGCAATGCATCCTGAAATAATGTACCCCTCACTTTCAAAAGTTTTTGTGAGATTCATTTTGTAAGAAGAAGCGCATCGGACTCCACGTTGGTCTTGGTTTGACAGAATTTTAGGGGTTTGTTGTTGAGCAATCCTCAAGAAATGTGCCGCGCGTAGGTGAAAGTTCCTTGTTTCGATCATAAAACTGCGTTTTGATGATTACCTGTATCAGCAGCAGACTGTTGCCGTTTTCACCACCAAACTGCAACGCGACAGTGATTGATCTCCAAATAGAGGTGTTCTTAACACAATAACAACGTGGACGTAGTGAAGAGATTATTTCTTTCCGGACATATGCGCCACAGCGGAAGAGGACAAAGTACGCAATTCGAAGTGCTCCACGTCATTGGTGCCAGCTGCCCGCTTTCGAACTCCCCCGCCGAGCCCAGTCATTAGCAGACGCTCACATCTGAGCGTCCACCGCCGGTAAACTCCCTCTGTCTCTCTGTGTCGCTCCCAGTCACGTGGTGGTCCTCAGCACATTCGATAAACAGAGCTCGTCGCTTCGATGTAGCTCGATGCCACGCCTCTCATCTCATATATATGGAGGAGAGTCTTCCCCAACAGTGAGCTGGTATCAGCCTAGTCGCCTACCTGCCCAAGCGCCTCTTTCCGACTTTTGTATCTTCAATTTTCTATCTTCTTTCACACTTGAGTGATAGCTCCACTTAATAACCGGGTTCACTAATCCATTCGATGCTCAATCCTTCCATTTGGAATACTTCCTAGCGCACCAGCATCCGAGGGATTGAGGCCTACCGATGACATTATCCCTGGTGTCGGCATCATCGCCCTGATAACCCCGCGCCATTTTCCGGCGTGCTACGTTCGCTTGACCTCAGCATACGTTGCCAAAACATCCGAACAGGTGCCTAGCTTTGACAGAGGGCAACTTGGCTGACGTTCGCGGCTCCACTACGTCAGTGCTGCTTCGTAACAGCGAAAACAGCATGGCATAACGTAAACAGCACGCGTAGTGGTTGATTTGAATTGCGAATCACACGTATCACTGTCCGTCTGCTGTTCAGCAACATATGTATTCAATTCGAGAGCGAAATAACTTCTAGCAATATTTCCAACACTTCCCCACTCTGCCCACAGCTTGATTAGTCCCGTGTTACATTTTTTAATAATTAGTTTCGGGGCGAAAGTCTCCAGAGTGAAGTGAAGCAGAGTCGGTGGAAATGCTCATGTCCCCGTTCACCTAAAATGGAAGTCTGTTGTCGCTCCTTTTTATTTGTTCAAGCACCGAGTGACCTCCGTCCCCTATTTCTCGTGCTTCGGTACATCACGACTTTTCGTTTTTCGGCTACGCGCTATCTTTGCCTCCGCTTCTCATTTTGCAATCCATACATTAAATATTAGCAGAGTGCCTCCGTATTGATTGACTTTTTAGCACTATTTCATATTATCTGGCAATAACTCTAATTCATGTGTCTTTTGTTTTGTCTTGGGATTCTAAAAACTTTGGCATTGAAGTCATTCTAGTAGAGAATTATCCTGAAGGAGTAGTTTTTCCATAAAATTAGAAAACTTTCAAAGGTAAATGCTTTTAAAGTGCCCATGAGGGTCATATCCAGAAAGTCTAGCAGTAATTATTTAAATTGAAAAATATCCAAGAAAATATCGTGGAGGAAGTCAATGAAGGGAACAAAGCTTTGCTTTTGATAATTTCTGAATCAAGTGCAGCCTCCGAAGGCTTTTAACGTTTTCAAAATAGAGATGATTGAGGCAGATGACTGGCACTGGCTGGTGGGCGAGCTACGTGACTTTTAGCGGTGTGAGCCAAGTGTATGTGGATCTTATCACAACCCTCGTTGCTCAGATAGTGGGAGAGCTTTGACTGGTGTGTTCCTTCTCCCTCTTCCTGATAATACTCATTAGTCCGCCGTTTCTGATTGCTTCCCCCCACTTTTCACTACTGTTTACAATTAAAATTCACGATAAGAACCCTTTTGAGTCATAAATATCTCTGTGTAAACATCTGCGGTTGCCAGCGATACACTTTCTTTGCCACAAAAGCAGCACCGAAGACCGCGCCCCAGGCTTATCATTTAAAATAGCGAAGGATAGGGACCGGTTCGATGTGACCCCTCCTGCATACCTCTGCGCCAGAACTCATTTGGTTGTGCTATAGTTCGAGCTACATCTGTTTCGCTCTCAGCCAGCTGAGCAGCAGGTATCATCTGCATCTTTTAATATGTTCTTTCTGTCTAGTATTCCTCCCGTTTTCCTTCTCACGGCTTTCATTCAACCCTTGTGGAGTGAGCTGTTTGCCTCTGCCCTTGACTGCAATGAAGAAAAACCTTTTACAAAACCAACTTCCTCAATTAGTTCATAGAGCAGGTGTTTTTGTTTCGATTTTTTCATTTGGTCGCCTGAGTAAGCATGAGGGCATATATATAGTTGGAGCATACAAATCTATCTCATTTTTGTGCGGGGCCTGCAGAAAGACATATTTGAACTCCATAAATGCGACCTAGTCAACAGCAAAAGGAATAATGAGCTTTAAACAGTGATTTCGAGCTCGTCCTCGAATCCTCTCAGTCTCTGAAAAAAAAAAACAGGAAATCTATACATCGTATTTTAACTTCGTGGCATTCACTTTATGACTTTTTAGGCTCCAGACAAGCTGGACACAGCATCCACCTCTTGTCATTAAAAGCTCACTGCAAAGTATCCTGGCCTCTCATTGTTCCGAAATGAGATGTTTACCACCGAGGAGTCCCATTTTGAAAAGACAACTTGGGGTTTGGGGTGAGCTTTCATTTGCTCATAGTGTATGCTGTGCATTTACTTCCACACGGAGCAGCTCGAATAAGTGTGCTGACCCAAAGCAGTAGCTACTTCTGCAAAAAGTTGATGCAAGCTCCTTCAAAATCGTAACGCACGATTAGCATTGACGGGACTTCAGCGGCAAGTTTTTATCCCCGAGGCATGCGCCATCAAGTGCGTGACCTCCGCCCAGCCTCGGGGGTGAAAAATCGTAGATTGGACTCCTTATCTGCCCTTTTACTTTCTAATCTATGAGATCTGGCGCGCCATGTATCGAGTTGCCTCGTTTCACTTTTCTTACGGCAGTGCTTAACCCTAATCTGTCGTGGTCTCAGTCGGTTTTTTACCTTTCACTTTTTACTCCTCTTTCCTTCTTACCCCTTTATTTATCTGCTTTGTTCATTTCTGGCATTCTTTACCTCACTTCAGAACGTTCAATTATTACTTTGAGATAGTAATATCACTGAAATTGTGGATCGTGTTGTTTTTTCGAATGTGACCTTTGACTTGTCTTTCATTTTCATGCTTGATGCAAAACAATTCTAGAGCATTCTCGTAGTAAATTTATCAGAAGGGCCGTCTTTTCTATCGATTTCAAAAAAAATTGCGGGGCACAGAAAAATGAGGCGAGTGCAGGAGAGAGGTGAAGTGTGTTACAATAAAGAGCTCATCTAGTAGGAGCTTCTCACACCATCCCCATTTCTGTTCACCATTTTTATGACATTACGGTCTTATTATGACTTTTGTGGCCCTCTTTACTTCTTCTGCTGCAGTTTAACAACTCCTCTATCTGTCATGCCTTATGCGCTGCCTGCATTTGGGAAACGAAGACGACACTGATCGCTGATGATCTTTCAAAAAATATATGATTGTATTCAATAGGTAATTATAGTGATTACTACTTCTAAATACGATTTCCCGGAAGTACAGTGTTTCCTACTTTTTCTTGTTGTGTTTCTCGATACATTGACTCAGTTCAGTCAATTTTGTCGAACCGGAAAGCATCAGAATCGTTTTTTAAATGAATTCCTCATCCTTACGAATGCTCATTACCTTCGCAGCGAATGATTCACCAGTCGACGCAGCTCTAACGCTTCATTCCGCTGCTTTTCGATCTCCATCGATTGGTTTAGTTGGAAAAGTTTCCGTGTTGGTTGATTGATTGACTTTCAGATCTAACTGAGCTCAAGTATTCATGTCGACATCATCAGTACAAGCTGAAACGTACGTTTTGCTTCGTACACCTTCAACTAGCCTCTTTGTCTTCTGAACGACAAAATTTCGTTGTGCTGAATTTATGTAAAGTTTCAGAGATCTTTCGGCTGTGCTCCCATCGTGCTCCCATACTAATGTCAGCCTTGATGTCGATGTCCTTACTAATATTTTCGAGAAAGTCGGTTCCATTGGTAATATCCGCGACGTCATTAAGCTCACGGTATCGTAATCTGGTAACATGGTGAGATGTCTACATCTAGAAATGTGAATTCAGCCGCTTTCGTCATGGGCCGCCTACGGTATCGAACGATCCCTGACTAACCACTGCCATATTCGGATAGATATCCGAGCTCCAGTCGAATTTCGGATCATCGGCTTGAAAAAAGAAAAGTTACCGATACCTGAACCTGTTATTTATATTCAGGTAAGAGATGCTCAGATTCATTTTAAGAGGAAACAATCATGGGTCGGAATTAATCTGAACTGAATCAGCTCGGTAGTAATATCAAGGGATGCATCAGTGTTAAAAAATGCAAGTTTGTAGCATCACTGATGTCGATAACTGTGTGGTATCATGTCAAGGTTGTATGCATTAACACCTTCAAAAAAGCAGACACCATTTGCAGCAAGCCTGATGTGGTCTATTGCTTTAAATGTAATGGAGGTGGAATACAATACTTGTTGAATGATAAAACCTGAGTTGCGGAACATACTATTTATAGAAATCTCTCACGAGCTGAATACACCATTACACAATCATTCCTTCAAATGTGATAAAATTGCACCAGTAATAATATTGGATTTTATGGGGTCTACTGATTGAACAACAGATAGAAAAAGTCATATTGGATCAAAGTCCTTGTACTAAGGACACATTAGTGGATATGGTAGCATATTTAGCATCGATAATCCATCAATAATCAAGAATAATCCTTTTTCACTCAAAATTACCTAACAAAGAGGTAATAGAGGAATACGCAGTAATAGAGGGAATAAGAATAAGTAAATTGTGTGAAGTTCTGGATGAGTTAATGGTTAAAACGAATTACTCAAACCAATTCAATACTATAGATTGCTCAGAAGCCTGTTTCTTTATTCGCGCACTTCCTTGAAGCAAGTTTATTTTCAATATAAAACCAACGCTAAAAAATAGAATGGGGATTTCCACAGTGTAGTTATCAATTTTAGCTGTGGAATATTAATGAGTTACCTTTAGATAGAATCTTCAACTTATGATCAATTAAGGACGCTTCACCAAAAGATAATGGGCGATTAGATGAATTTATACCAATAAGAGCCATATATAAGCTCAATTTGAAATACAATATGAACTAGAATTGTGCAATTACAACAAGGATTGAAAAACTAGAAGAGGCTATCTGATGCGGTTGTGATTGCCTCACTTATTCAGTTATTCAGTATGTAATTGAAGAGGGGGTGATCATGTTATAACAGAGGTTTTCCGGCTTGATAAGATTAGAAGACCCAAGAACTATGTAAAAGGGAGCGAGGTATATACTAGAAAATGGCATCAAAAGGCATATTTTACATGATTGTGAAAACTTGTTATTTTGTTACGTTGTTACGTTTTTGCTATTGTTCAGCAAGCTTCACTGATTTTAGTCTTTACTTTTTAAGGGTTCTCGTGTTACTCCGGCGGCGGCGAAAGAGCTCACTTCGTTCCTTGTTGGTAAAATGAAAGAAATCAAAGAAGTCACTCTGAACATCGAAGACTCTGATCTCACAGTTTTCAACTCTTTACTCGACCAACTAATTGAAGCTGGTTTGTCACCCGTTGTCGTCTCGTTAGCCGACTATTGCAGATTTCTCTGATTTGTTGCTTCAGAAAATGTCAAGCTGGAGGTCCTGCGTATAAAAAGACGCAAGGGCGGACAAACAATTCCGAAGGTAATAGTTGTTACCGCTCATGAATATTATATTCATTCACAGATCCTGAATAGTGAATATTAAGATATCCGAACTGATCGCAGCGAACTCGTCGACGCTTCGAATTATCGGCCAAATTGGACTATCTGAAGCTAGTGTTTTGAACTCTTCGGTGAGTAGAAGTTTTTATAGATGAGAGTTCAGCTGCAGTATCAATAAGCTCATTCCTTGAGGCAAGGAAAGTGATCATGGGAGGGGCGAAAGTGGAGACGTAAGGGTGTAGTTCAGCAAACATTTCACATCATTTTCTTAGTGAGAAAGGGAAAAATTAATTGATTCGAGTAAAAAGCCCACCCACGTTCTTCTTCAGTAGCATACCAGAGATTTATATTTTCATACCCCTTCATTTCCTATAGCAAAGAAGTCGGCTGAGCAATGGTCGCTTCAAAGTAGATTCTATGTTTCGCGCAGAAAACGTAGAAACACCCAGAGGAAGGTCGCTCCAGTTGTGTTCTCATATGTTCTCTCCTGTTTAGATGCATCTGGAACGTCTCTCACTGATGATGTTTGATCTTGGATTAGATGCATCTCAGACAGCAATTTGTGATCACTTTCTTGAGATAGCAAGAAGTGGAGTTACGTTCGATCATCTCTCCTATACCAGCTTTGTAGGATTCGATCCCACAGATGACGTTGTGCAGGTGAGCTGAGTTTTCTGAAGTTTTCTGGTACTTCCCATGATATTTAAGACAAATTAGTCGTTGTTTGTTCTTGCTTTCATTTTCGATGTCATTCGATGTTCGAAGAACGGCAAATTTGGAGATTAGACACTGCGCATTAACATTTCCGATTTTCCCTTTAATGTTGCTCGATCCTTTTACCGGAAAGGCAGAAAGCAGTTGGGAAAGACTGGAACAGTGAATTTTGAGTGGTGAGGAAGTCGGGGAAAAACTCAAAGATAGAATGTTGTGAGGTTCTATAGTGTTACTAGGTGAATAGCTGAGGTTACGGTTTACTTTATCTACTTTATGTGGTATGAAGAAACAGCATCAACGAAGAGGCCCCAGATTCATCGCCTTCCTTTGAGTGGATTGCTCCTTCCATTTCGAGAGGCGCTATGGATGCATATTTATTCATCTGCGAATCCTTAGTCATACTGTTTGCTATCCGCTAACTTTTTCTGGAGGGTTACAAGAAGGGCTTGCCACACTCGTAGAGGAAGAATATTGAGGGTGTTTCAGGGGCTATACCTTCGCACTGGACGTGAATGTTGAATATTCGACAAACTAGGGAACCATGCCTACAGTGGGAGGCAATTTTGAGCTTTTTGGTGTAATGCAGCCAATTCACTGGACAATTACAACTGAAATCTCGTCCGAATATCTCTTTCATAGCATTTCCATCGTGGTAATCTCGTACAATCCTTACTTTCACTTCAGCAACACTTCCACTTCTCAACTTAAAAAGTGAATCTCTAAGTTATAGTGTATTGTGCCTTTAAGACATTCCTGGATCGCTGCCAAGTGAAAAGCCTTCGTTTGACGATGATGCGTGGACCGTACATTGCACCGCAGCCGGATTACATGGTTGGCAAGGTAAGCGGTCTAGTAGGTCATTCTGATAACTACCGATTGATCATATCGATTGTCATAGGTTCGTCAAGTCCATCATATCGAGCTGGGCGAAGTGGTCGACAAGCCGAACATCTTCAATTCGCTTGTCACTTATGAAAGTGTATTTAAAAAGGTGTTTCCGAACGTACAAGACATTCACTATTTCCAGCACTGGTAGTTCATCCTTTGATTCGGAGACTTCCCAGTTGTACATATGTTTCTCATATTGGTTCTCATGCTTTACTATTTCATGACTTTATTTATGTCGAAGAAAACGAGCGGTAAAGCTCCTGAATTATTGGCGGACAGAGGGGGCTGTTTGTCAACTGTACTTATTTGTAGATATTTTTTAGTTTCGTGAGCTTTTCCATTGACACCATTCGGTTCCTTTCCTCGCAATGTTGATGATGACCATGTCTAAGACTTTAATTATCTTACCGATATATTGGATGTATCGTGACTGACAACAGATCCATTTGATCTCAGTTGCTCATGCCATGAAGCTCTTGTAAAGCGACTTTGTACACAAGAAATATATTTCCAAAAAATTCTCTAGTGGTCCGCTCTTTCCCTCCAGCACTCCTGTCGCTCAACTCGTGATTTCAATTTTTACGTCCCGGTTCCCACTCTGCGCGACTAATTTTCATCCTCGCAATTTCTTCCTTTCCCCTTTGAATCTCCTCATAGGTTCCAGGGGTTATTCTCTGAAGCCTTAGCCAAGATGTTACAACTTTCTATAAGGCTAACGCTTCGAGCAGTCGCCGTCGTTAGAGGCTTAAGGCCAAGAAACTTTTGGGATCATCCTGATCGAACGGGATTTCGACCTCAGCCTAGTGTAAGACCGGCCTATAGATACCTAGGAGTAACTACAACAGGTAGCCCATCTTAGATGCCCAGAATAGGACCGCTACCCCTCCCTTTTAGATTGAGTATGTGTTCTGACCGACGTCTGGCTTGTTCCCCCGGCGGCAAAATCCACACAGGCCGAGGATCGGGGGGAGCGGGGCAAGCTCGTCAGATACGACAGGAATTCATCTTCTGCGCATCTCTCAAGTCCCTTTTCGGATCCTTCAAGTAATCGTCGTTCATCACTGCTGAAGGGAATGAGCTGTAGATAATCCCGACCTTCCTGAGATTTTTGCGATGTTTCTCTGTTTAATACCTAGTCATGAGCTGTTACCACAGTGATTTCCTGTTGTGTGCTATAGCTGCTTTGTATAAATAAAGCTTTATTTGTTTATCACAGATTAAAACATCATCGACTGTACACCATGAGATCGTTAGATATTCATAGCCCGACAGGCTATCGAGCACATAAAATACTTAAAAAACGAACTCAAGTCGAAGAATGGGACATCACAGATTTCTAGTACCCGATAGGCTCAACTGGTGTAGGAACCGTGGGTTGCTCTTGGGAAGGGAGCTGTGTTGCCTTGGCAGCTTTGGGACCCTTACGGTGTTTTTCCTCGTGGTGCTTTGGCTTATGTGGCTTCTTTGGCTTAGACTCTGGAACTACAGTCGTCTCCTCGGCTGGAGCAGGCACTGGCAAAGAAACCACTGCCGGTTCGGTGACAGCTGGCATATTCTGTATTGGTTGAACAATTGGTGGCACTACCACTAACGGCACTTCTACTATAGCTGGTACTTCCTGAGCTGGCTCAACAAGAGGTGGCAGCAGAACCAATGGTGTTTCGGGGACAGCCGGAACATCCTGTGGAGCCAGGTTCGGTCCTGCCGGCGGAGCTAATGTGGGTTCAGAGATAGCTGGAACTTTTTGTGCAGGCTGAACAACTGCCGGCACAGTGACAGGAGCCTTGGTTGGAGCAGGGAATTTCGCAGTTGCCCAGTATTTTTCGGCCGCCTCAGGGTTGAGTACGTACCTGAACAACCATGTCACATGCGTTGATCGAGAAGTTTTTAAGTGGATCACTCACCTGACTGTGGTAGTACTTGGAGTAACAGTGGTGATGGGAACGTCGAGCACCTAGAGCATGATATATTATCACCAGTGCCAGCCCCTGGGATGAAAAATCGAAGAAAGCTCACCACCGGACCAGGTTCGAGGGGTACGTATTCGGGCGTTACTGGTATAGCTTGCAGTGTTGCAAGCTTTGACTTCACTGTAGCAGGGCTCATGGTCGGGACTTCTTCGGCTGGCTCGGCGTTAGTAGGCAGCTGCTCAGCGGAGTCCTCGTTAGCTGGCGCGAGCGGAGCTTTCATGGGAACGTCCTGAGTTGGTGCAGCACCAGAACCCACGGGCGGAATGCCCTCAGCAGGTGGAAGCACAGTGGTTACGACTGGAGGGACAAATGTCTTCCAGTATGCCTCAGCAGCTTTCTCGTTTAGTTCGTATCTGAAGCAACACATTTTCACTTACATAATTACTTTGCACGTCAAATCTTAAGATTCCTTACTTGACAGTCGTCGTCGGAACAGTAGCTGGCTCCATTGGAGGCACAGATGGAGCTTCAATGGCAACCTGTTTTTCTTCTGGCTCGCGAGACACGGGAGAAGTGGTAACCTCCAAAGAAGGTAGAACACTAGGTGCCACAGTTGGCTCAGACGGCAGCTGCGCTGGGACCTCCTGCGCTGTTGGAACGTTGATGGAGGGTTCCGGCGACGGAAGGGTGGCGGGAGCTTCGGCTGATGAATGCTGTGGAGCTTTCGTTGGGACCTTCTGGTGGAGTTTTTTCCAATGATGCTTTGGCCTACGTCTCTTTTTCTGATTCTGCTCCGAAACTTTCAATTCAGGAACGGGAATTGGTGCTGGTTCCAAAACCAGGGGCAGTTCGCTTCCTGCGATAACTTCAGCCGAAACGGCGACCGCCTCCTCCGCAGGTTGCATGATGGCTGGAACTTCAGCAGGAACGTCTTGGGCGGCTGGAACGTTGACAGGCACTGCAGCTGGCTGCATGATAGGTAACGCAGGCAATGCATTTTGAGCTTGTACAGGGACGTTTAATGCTGATGGAACGACTTCAGGTAGGTCTGCCTCTGCGGATGTCGCAACCGGATGGCTCTCCTTTTGTTTGACCACGGTCTTGAAGGGTAGACGTGACGGAACCCGATCCCCGACTCCGTAATCTGAAAATGGCTTTTTAGCATGGCCTCGGAAAAAGGAGCAAAACAACAACTCACTAGTGGCCGACCCCACTGCTAGCAGGCCAAGGATGAGCAAGAGTGAGTTCATTTCTTCGACCTGCAATGTTGAGAAGTAGCCGAAGAAGTCGTGGGAAGGTTGGACTCGGTAGGAACGGTCAAGAACAGGACATAAAGAATGCAAGTTTGAAGAGAGAAAAAGTAGAAAACTGAAATCAAGGTATTAGTCGAAGAGGAATGTCGCTGCGGCTTTCCCACGCCCTTTTATAGCGCCAGGACTGATCGTTGACCGCCAGGTAGACTCAATAAATGATACCTTATCTGTACTTGACCAACCGCTCTTTTCTCCCTGAGTTTTTGTATATCTCTCAAGTATCATAGTATTCGGAGCATGTACGACCAAATCGTGCTCTCGGAGTAACGTATAAGCCCTAAATGAAGCTACATTGCCTCACTATACGAGTTACCCCATGTCGAGGGTCAATGTGATCGTGCGGGAAAAAAGAGCGGGAACTGGGGATAGGAGGCGAAGTAAGTAGCGACACCGTTGCAGGCTCATCTTTCCATCCCACTCAGTTTTTTTCCGAAAATTGAGCGGACATTGGACGACTGCAGATGGTACTTTTATGGCTTTACTTTCAATCATTCCTTCAAAATCTTCGTGCCATGAGTCAAAGTATTGTTTAATTATTCGTTCGGTTTGCAGAGGATCTTCTTCAGGTTTGATAAGCTATCCGACGGGCCGCTGTAGTTAATCAAATAATGCCTCCAAGTGACTCCCTTCCAATTAGGAAAGCAGAGTCGGTCGTTACAGGCTCTGTGTGGGTAACTTTGGCGGAAGTAGGAAGATGTTTCTCCTTGTCTTCAGTCATGAGTTCCAGGATTTCACTGATACGACTATCGTCGGATGACTCCCCAATAATATTCGATTTGACTAAAGGTCAGTAAAATAGCTGGCTTCACTGCCGTAAAGCAGCTCAAGGTGTTTCAAGAGAAAGGGGCACGGGTATCTCTGGGTATACTTTTTCTAGCAATGATTCGAAACCTTACCAACTTCTCTACTCTTACTATCCTTTCATCATTCGAATCCAGTGCAGAGGATGCATTCAGCGACAAATGACTTCCAAGGAGAGCTTTCGCGCTTCCTTGTCTCCTGCTAGATTTCAGTTGTAGCATATGGTCAACGTCGCACTCGAGTAAAACACTCTTTTTCAGGACTTTTGACAGATTCTCTCGGCTCTCAGAAACCATTGCAGCTGGCGTAGACTGTGATCCTTGAAATGTGACCCGGTCTTTGCCCCATACTTCATATATGGTAATCAGCCGATACAATACGTGACGTTTGAAGAGAGTATCACTTCCTTTCCAAATTGCGGAAATCCCTGTCATCCGAGTTGCTGATAGATATGAACCTTTAGATATCACTTTAAGGTGTGATAGAAGGAACCGGCCTGCTCAAGAGACATCGAATTTTGATGTGATGCTCATTGAGACGAGGCGCAGGGCTCACGTGAACCCAGCCTTCTTTCTAGGAAATGGAGTAATTTTCATGGAAGTATTAATAAACTTGCTTGCAGATGTGGTGTACCGCAGTGATTGTGTTTGGAATCCATTTAGTTGTGGGAGTACCGAGCAGCATTGAGAAAAAGGTAGGATGGCTTTGTAGTGGATGATGCAGTGCCGAAGCTTTGATTAGTTCCGTTAGGCTCTAATTCTTGTAATATTTTTACAGTTTCAGACGTAGAATTGATCTTTAGTCAGGTGTTGATGAAATTGAGTTGCTCCTATGGGCAATGACCCTATGGGAGCTCACTCTTCTACTCAATTAAAATGTAGGCAAGGGAACGTGTATCATTCTGTTTGATTAGTTGCAACTAATATCGCACTTTCCAGCTGGAAAGAATGCTTCCGAGTGCATAAAACTTCTTGCACGAGACAATTATCAGTAAAATTAACACTTATACCCGTTACCAGACTGAACTGCAGCCTCCCTTTAAGTGAAATGTTCTGGCCATTGCTTCACCGCTGCGTCATCGAAATTTGTAATGAATTAACTGTTAGTGACACATTTATGTACATTGCAGGCTCCTGCCAAAAATGTCAGGTTCAATGCAGCACATCTGCTTAAACACCCACTACTACGGTCGCTTGATGCCACTAACGAAACGACACCTGAATCAGGCAAGTCGCTTCTATTCTCCTCAGGTTTTTTCAGTGCTTTTCGAAAAGAACCCACTCTTTTTAGAAGCTATGTCAGATCTTTTGAAAGCTCCTCATCCATCTCCGTTAGATCAAAATTCAAAGGAAGAAGATGGAGAACCGAATCCCTTCAGGTCTTCTCGAGTGCCTCTCAGATCCCTCTACTGGACCCTAACAATTTTGTTTTTTAAAGTCGGTCCTGGTTCACTGGTGAAGAGCTTGCCGCGGAGTTTGATCTGTTGCCGACTTGTCAGCGAAAGTGCACGAAGCAACTGCATGATGATCTGTTCAGTACATTCAAGAGAAGCAACTACGTCGTAAAGTATCATAACATTTGTCGGTGAGCCATGCTTTTTTTGAGGGGATTGTCTTTTGTACACAGGCGAAATGATTCACCTGATATCATAGGGTCTGAATACAACATCTGGAAAACGATTCTTGGTCAGAGAAGGTTCTGCCAGGCGAATTCTGGCTGATCTTTGGCATCGTTCTCAAACGACACTTGCGGGGCTCGATTTATTTGAGAATTTGATCGATTATGATCTAAAAATGCTTATCTTTAACTTCAAACCGACAAATTGACAGGCATAGCGCTGACTTTCCCTTCATGAGGTGTTGGGTCCGGCTCATAATATTCAATTGTTTATATCACGCTTTGGCACGGGCCACATTCAGCGAAGAGCTGATGGAATTTGACAAGTTACGATTCCAATCGACTGCTATAACTCTCCACTCTCTGTACAGGGCAAAGCGATGGCAGTTTAAGTTGGCCAGAATTCCTCGACGAGTGTGCTGGAGAAGTGTAAAGGATATAGAGAATTGATATTTGCGTCCTCTACTTTTGAAGGCTACGGCTGTCATCGAAACGGATCCATTGTCAGAATTGTCAGGATCAGAACTCAGAACTGTCAGAACAGACTATCGTGGACCTGAGGTTCATAACGCTGGCCTATACTCAATTGCAGATCATACAAGGAAGCAAAGAAATGTATAACTGATGATCGGGACCATTGTGGGGAAAACCGAGATATGTTCGATATGTTGAGCAGTGGAATGGAATATATGTGCGTAGAACAGGGCAAAGGTTAGTGAGTTAACAGTGTATTGAAACACCCGTCAATGATTAGCTTGAGATTCTGTGTTAACTTCAGCATTCAACGTCACCATCAAATGTATCGACAGAGAGGCGCACGCCGTCAAAGCCCGTCAGTTGTCCCTTTTTATTTCAAATGAAACTTTTATAGGCACTATACTTACTATGTTATTTGTAAGTACTACCTACTAGGTTAGCGAACGAACTTAAATAGAACCCTTTGATGGTATCTAACTTGGACGATGGGTAGGGCCACATCTACAGTACATCGAAGAGTTGCAGTGTGCGAGGAGGAGTGCTTCTTTCCTAATCACGTCATGAGCCTCTTTACACGGACATCGTTCGCCAGAGATTTTGGTATTTTGTGGAATTCTGGATAAGCTTCATTTCAACGGCTTTTTAGAATGTATTCAATAATGGCTGATCCAGCATGGAAAGATAGAGCAGTCGAATTACTTTTGTGGAAACGAGGGCTCAAGGGGGAGAACTTGATATGAACGACGAATATTATTCAGGATCGTCTGCTTCTACTTCCATATTGGATTCCCCTGAAAGAGTCGCTCTGACAGAATTGCAGTGAAAAGTTATTGCTCACAGGACAAATGTTGGCTTTGCTTCGAACAAAAGCTGCAAGTCATCAACCAGCCTTTGGAGAGAAACCCATTCCTATCCATCCTCATCAGTTCCACCTTGGGCCAGATCCAAAGACAGGAACTGGAATAGGTGAGTTGATCTTCCCTCGCCGCGCAAGCTTTTAAAGGCGTTTTTCTACAGAAATTTGGCTAGATATCCTACTACGTATAGTGCACTAAGTGTGTCTGCTGCTTTGTCTGTCTGTGTGTGTGTCTGACCGGAAATTCACAACTCCGGTTCCCGTGAACCGAGAGAGTTCAAATCTACTAGGAGTACGCGGCAGGATGGGAGCTCTGATTTCAAGTGGTAGGACGATTCCGCCGAAAGGGGACGACACAACGTGGACCTAGAGCGCTAAAATTTGTTAGGAGCACAGGAGGCAAGATGGGAACACTGATTGTAGGCGGCAGGACTACTAGACTTCACCACAGGGGCGTGTTCAGCCATGAAAATATTAAAAAAAGGAATCACACGTTTCATTTCCGAAAGGCTCCTGAATGTCTTTCCGTATTGATCACATGCAATTTTTGTTATGTTTTGTTCGAGCGCTCCGTACAATAAGAGTGACACCTAATGACTTGGTAAAGGCGATATTTCTTACATCGTTCATTCACCGTTATACTTTCAGGTCTCATAAATGACGCCCAGTCTCCATCTGCAGGTAGATGATACATTTTTACGTATTTTCAAGGAAAGTTCGGTAATGACTCTTGAAATCGAAAATTGCTGTACTGATCAATCTGAGGAATTCATTGAGGATTTTTTTCAGATAGCAATTCCTTCCGTGACTTTCAGACAGTAACCCACGAAGCTTGCGTGTATGATTTCTGAGAAATGTCTGATGACCTTTATTTAGTCGCATTTAGCCTATTGTTTTCAGGTATAGTGAGTGCACATTAAGCTGCTATCGAACAAAATTCAATTTGAGATGTGAAAACAGTGCTGGAGCAATGCTATCGGTAGCTCTTTGGAAGTAGTTGTGAGACGAATACCCTTGTAACCATTTGATTATATTTAATTCCTTCTGTCTTAGAAGAGGGTCTAACAAGCAGTTAAACTAGGTTGCGTCACGTATCACTGTGGATCGGTATCGGTAGTGCGTTACAATGCTACGCATCGTTTCCTCGACAATAACCGGCTTTTCATTCATAATATCAACTCTCCTCAGAAAAGAGTGGGAAGTGACAGGTTCCCGACTGACTTTAGGTTCGAGTTCGCATTGCTAGTTCGCGAAAATAGATCTGAAACTTCCACTGCTGTGTTGCTCGAACTCTTGGCGCTGGTTGTTCCCTATTTCGGTGTTCACTGCCATACAAAATCGACAGGTTGTTTTGAAAAATTTAGAGAGCACCGACCGGAATCAGCCAGCTGGGTCCTTCGCCTCCTTCGACTGGAAATAGTTGCTTGTAGAGATTCACCCTGAGTTTCAGAAGATTCATCCCACCCCAAAACAGGGCTGCTTTTGATTGTTATTTATAATAGCTCACTGTTTTCAAAACTCATGCCTATCTCTGAATTCTGTGATTTCCCTTTCAGGAAGCGCTAGTGCGTCCATTGGTCGAGGGTCATCAAAAATTTTCTCCTATGTTCGTGGCACTCGGCATGGTAACACCCAAGAGCTGCTCTTTCCTTTACAAGTACGCCTACACCCCTAAAATGATGAAGCTTTTGCGTCTGAGTTTTTTTTTTCAGAGGTTCGAGGCTCTTGCGTCATCGAATAGACCCCATTCTCAATGAAGAATTGCAAGCGAAGTTCGGAAAGCCTGATGATGAGGTAAGCTATGAAAGTCTGCGCTTATTGCACGATCTTTTTTCTGAATAGAAAGGTTCTTCTCATTCGAGAAATAGAAAATAAAAGGGATTTGCGTTATGAAAACTATTGTGCAACTCTTTAAATCTATCGATCGCTGACCACCAAGGAACTGAGATGTGCATCGTTGGCACAGGCTGTAGCTGGAGTAATAAGCTCGTAATATGCCTCTGATGACCACTTCTCGAATTATCTTTCAATTTCCTTCACAGTTTAATAATAATTGTGAGCTTATGCATGCTTAAAAAATTATTTCTGTTTTCATATCGAACGATACCTTTATAAAATATTTTTGTAACCTATCGGAAACCTGGAGATCTATTTTGTCAATAGTTCTTTCGCAAGCTTTACGATCGAAAAAACTCACTCAGCCATGCTTATGAGAGTCCTTTCAATGTATATCATATTGGAAATCGATCAATTCTCATAGAAGAAGGGGTTTCAGGATAACTCAGTCAATGATATTTCAATTTCAGGACAACTCGGTTACCAATGATTCTTCTGAGGAGACCTTGGGTTCACGGACCAATGAGATCAACGCTAACTCAGATTTGAATAGTCTCAGTGAGTCAGATTTGAAATAGGTTTGTTTAGAAAGCAATAAACAAGGACAGATATAGTTGATAGAGTAGTAATCAGCTTTTCTTTCCATCAGTAGGGAAGGAAAAAGGAGACTCAGGCGATATCAGCTCATGGCGGTAAGGTTGAGGAGTCGTACAGATTGGGGTATTAATAACTAAGTTGCGCTGGTCTCCTTTTTTTTGCACTACAGTCCTTTTGGTTTTCTTATAGAGCTATTTAAAGATTTTGGCGCTGAAAACCTTGTATAATCTCACCGAGTGATGGCCCGGCCTTTCTTCATAGGAAACTTCCTCATCTTTTCAGGGACTAAATTTGAGAGCTACTAGTATGGAGTAGTTTAGACGGCAATGTTTTCTGAACGAGCTTTTTTTCAGTTAATCAGTTTTATGCTGAAGGAATGGTGGATGAAAGCAACGCTGAACTATTTGATGGTAAGTTATGGAGTCTTTCAGACCAAATTCATGCAGTCTAAAGGGAAAATGCAAGTGAGCGTTGGCGGTCGTGTCAATATACCATAAGTGAAGCGAGTAGATGGATAACTAGCCGTGAACCAGTATTCCTGTGATTTTGGCTACTTGGAATTAAATCACTCGAAAGGCAGGTGGATAACAGGTCTTGAACTAATTCACATAACATGTCGCCAAAAAGTACCTGGACTAATGCTTGAAACTTGTTGAGCAAATGGGCGTGGTTTGGGAACATAAACCCCCTTTTACCAAGAAGCCATGTCAAACGAAAAAGAGTAATTGTGGGTCAAAAAAGAAGAAAAAGGAGTTAAGAGAGGTTTTGCAAAGGTGCGGTACTTCTAAACGTATATCCAACCCCCCCCCCCCTACATCAGTTCAAGAGTGAAAACCGTTCCTCTTAGACTACATCAGATTCAGGTTCCCACTGCCTCAAAGGTATTAAAGATGACATGAGTTCCTATAAAGCGATGTAGCGATTTCTAACTCTTGGTATACTTAATAATGGTGCCTGAGATTCGGCATGGTCATGGTTAGTCAGCATCAACTCTTGCAGTGTAAGACTTCATCTAAGAGACATCGAACCATCTTTGCCGTTGCATTAGGTCTAGCATTGAAATCCTTATTCTGAGAGATACATATATTGTATATTTTTAAATAATCTACTTGCAGCAATCATTACAAATCGGATGCGAAATAATGGTATGTTCAGGTCAGCTGATTCTAAAGGTATGTAGAAAGGTTCATTTCTTGGAGCTTTAGCACTCGCCCTAGAAGTTGCTATTATTTAGAGGAAGACTTTAGTGGAGATATCATAAAAAGTCTCGATGGTTCGGCAATCGGTTCCGGTGAAGGCTCTGGCGAAGGGTCGGCTGAGAATCTACCCAGCGGTACAGCTGAAGGATCGGCTGAAGGTTCTGCTGAAGGTTCCGCCGAAAGCTCCGCCGAGGGTTCCGCTGAAGAATCTGCTGAACTATTGGGTAAAGGTTTCACAGAAGAAGGTTTTGGAATGAATGGCGAACCAGTTCTCAGATTGAAGTTAGCAGAATACTCGACTACGTTTGACTTCACGCCCAATGTGTCAGGTAGTTCTTTTGAACTTGTGTATCTATTATTAGAAAAGATGAGGAGTAAAAAAGAAGTGAGCAAATATATCAGTTCTGCAAATGCAGCGCTTTAGGAAGTCCACGTTTGCATTTCTTGGTCTGCACCTTTCGAAATCATTGATATCTCGTGATATTTGACTTTTTGGTGATATCACATGAGGCAAAAGCTGGTTTTCTGTTTTGAGGCGTCACTTGATTGTTTAGGTACTCTTCGTTGTCAGTTTGTTCGCGACAGCCTCTCGACGCGAGTTTTCGCCTGAATTTCTGGAAAAGTATGCTCTTTTGCATTGCTAAGTTTGCTCAGATTTTTTAATTGCTCTAATCAAGCTTCCCTTCGGGTAGCTTTGGCTTTGTTGCTCCACTGGTCTTCTAGGACAATATTTTACATCAGTCAATTCATTCTAGTTTTTAACTGACCAGTTGTCAATACTCAAATAATTTTTTAGAGACGATTACAGAACTTTATCAAATTTTTTATTAACAATTTTAGTTCCGAAAACTTCATAAATATGTATTGGTTAACTTATGTGTTCACAGTGACGGCTACGTGGTTCAGTCCCTTCTGTCCCACTGGCTCTGGCGCATATATTTGGTTTAGCATTGACTTGTGGTCCTTCCCATTCAATAAATCGGTTGAACCGCTTGGTATTGAAGCAACCGAAAGCCACAACGGGAACGAAGCGAAAGGATAACTCCCGTCAAGGGAGCTTCGTTAAAAAATGCATAAGAGGGCACACTGCTCATGTCTTAAGCGAAACAGGCGGTCTTAGCAAAATGGAATTCTCGTTGCCTATCATTACCTACATTTGTATCATTTGCTTCGGCTACATCGTGATACGTTCTGAGACAATAATTTCAACGCTGTTTAGGCTTTACAATTTTTTCGTTCTTTATCGAGTCATGTTTCGAGACAGATGGGTCTCTAAGGGGAACCTTATTATACTGTTTGGAGTCGGAGACTTCATCTAAAAGCTTTTAATTTCAATCAGTCTTGTTTTCTTGTAAGATGGACCTACACACTGAACTTTCATTCAGAATCGCTCTCGCTCACATTTCTCCGATACAGTGGTTTGCCAGGGCAAGCTGGAGTGGAATCCGGGCGAGTCTGGCTATTTTGAACCAACCCTAGAGAGGTTGAAGGGGAATCAAGTTTACGAAGTGGACGGAGATCAAGTTTAAGTGTGTTTTCCAGCCTAACCTTGCGTCGCTTGACCAAAGAGCACCTCCTCTCCCACCTCGGTCAAGGAAGCTATCCAAGTCAACCCAATACAGATTGGTGCGCCGCGCACTCGTTCCGACCATATCAACATATTGTGCTTGTTCTCATCTTTTCTAAGTATTAGGTATATGATAGTGGGGCATTTGAAAGCCACTTCGATGATTTCATCCCTCCGATCCTTCCCATTTTCGTAACTGTCGTGAGAAATGCTTTTCGTGACAGGCTCATCATTTGAATGAACTTCTTCCTTCAGTTTGGGGCAATCTATGGATAGTTTAATCGCTTTTAGGGTAAAAATACTCTTTTTACTGCTTTTAATGTATCGTAAGAGGCAAAAGAGTTTTGAGGGCTGAGCAGACGCTCTTCACAGGACAAGGAGGGGAGAAAAGGTGGAGCTCGGATGTGTCTGCTGATATGTGCATACGCTGATGGATTTGCAGTCTTTTTTCAAGCCTTGTAATTGTTTCAGGGATATATCAAAGCATATCACACTATTCGATAGATCGTATTAGGGTAAGGCCAGCCTGAATAGCCTGAATCCTTGCTTGACTATGGACTGGTATTGAAGGTTCATCGATGATTCTCCTTCAAAGTATTATTCTAAGTGTTTACAACACTTTTACTCAATTGACTAGTCTCCCTTCTTGATATATGAGCCCATGTTGATGAGTTGACGCTTGTCAAGACTTATTTGTGGTCTGATTCAAACGCTCGTTTATGTAGATTACAGTCATCTTACAGCTCATTTTATACTATCACGAAGTTGTTTACATTAAATTATGTCTCATTTTATAATAGTAATGTAATATACATTGGGTAAGCCTAATACATAGGCATTAGAAGCTTGGTCTCGAGTTGAGGTTGAACAGTTGGTGCTTTCAGAACAACAATTAACAATGCCGCTTCTCCATAGGCCTCTAAGTGGCCGCATAACACTCGAGCTTAGTTTTGATGGGAAAAACCAAAGAATAAGTGAGGTGGGTACTGAAGTGTTCTGTAAGCTATGTATGCGTAGCGAATCTTCCAAGAAAACCTTCTTACGCCCCAAAAACAAAGATAAGCTGGAACGTTTCAGCGGCCAAGCTCTAAAACGCTATTAGCATGAGGCTAGGTATGAACGCGAAATCGAAGACGCAAGAGCAGCACAGTGTCGATTTTGGTGAGCCGTAATAATTCGTTGAAATTCGAAAGCAGCTCGTTCATCAGCGGCGATGGTGACTTTGTCATCATTTCAGAATATCATAGAGAGTAATGTTCTGTATATTTTCCATACTATTCTTCAAGTAACTTCAATAATTATATATATAGACTTTATTTCAACTGTTGGTTTAGAAAGATCCCGACGGGAAACTTCCTAATGAGTGTCTTCCTCTTTTCCTCCTGTTCTTTATTCATTGGAAATGATTTTACTGTTAGCATACCTCAGAAGAGTGTCATCACTGGGATTACTTCACTGCCGTCAGAAATGAATAAGGAAATAATAGCCGACATTTGTTAAGCTGCAAATTTCCGATCCCTACCCTTTTTCCTTCGTCTGCCTGATGAATGGAGGAACAAATGGTATATCATTCGCTGCAGGAACGTGGTCATGATCAGTTCCCGCTGTTATCAGAATATGAACCTAACGACCACGTCTAGGCAAACAAAACGCAATAGCAGGCAATAGACAGTCATTTGGGACGAAAATGACGGAAAAAAAACTTGTCATATACTGATGCTTACAAAAACTCTACAAGCTTAGATTAGCGCCTTCAATAGGTGCCTGAAATGCACAAAGGCGGATCATTTTCAATCGACTTTTCACTTCAGAAACGCTTTGATTCATGCCGTTTTTTTAAACTGAATTGTTTGCCTTTCTGTTAAGCATAAACGTAATGAGATTTATATGGATTTGGGAAGCTGAACTGCTTCCACTTTTCTGGAGATTGTCTCCACGTAACCAGAATTTTCATGGCTTTGAACAGTCCACCAATTCACTGAAGAGCTCATACATAGAAGTGTCCACATTCTCCTTAACGTAAAATATTCATATGCTAACTCGAAAAACTCACTTGCTTAGCGCATTTTGATGAGCTGATCAATCATGCGGCATGGTCTTTTTCCATTTCTACGCAATTCCTTCCATTATGGACTCAGAGCATATGGATTCGTATGAATTTTCTTCATCATTATAGCTTCATGAGCCAATATATCTCTCTGATGTATTAGTTTATGACAAAACCTCTCTTGAACGACTTTTTCGAGTCATTGTTGCTGATTAGAGTTCGTTAGATAATTTCGATGTTTCCTACATCTACCACATCTACCAGTCAGAGAGGATATTTACGAATCTTGAATGTTCATTTTCATATTTTTACTAGTAGCACCTTCGATGGCAGCAACCGTAATATCTCCTTTGAGAAAAAAGCAGGTGGTTTTCAAGATGTAGCATTTCATAAATTTTTGAGGCCACTATTTAAGACGATTTTTTCTTTCAATGATGGGCAGAAAATGGAACAAGGAGAATTGAGGGTGAATTGCGTTATGGGAACTGCACAGAATATGGAATTTATCATGTATTCTACCGATTCAACGGGTCCAAGTCCCAAGACGTTCTGTAGGCAACCTACAACAACTTTGAAAGTCGTGCGGGTTTATTGCCAATTCTGCACTCGTGTTCATCCTCTCACACTGGACTACTTTCCCGTGTGTGGTACGATTTCACCCACTCGAGCTTTAAACGAGAAAAAAGTGGCTCTCTGGAGCCTTTGTCTACCTAGAAACGCCCACTCCCCACCTCATGATTCGCTGTTCCTCATTTGCATGGTCCATTCTGACGTTAGTCGCGTCTCTCCTCCTATTCATGAGGATCTATTAATCCTTAAGAAATTCTTATAGGTTATAGGTATAGGAAAATGAAGTCGAGGAGTTGCTCGAGGGATCAAAGGGAATTCACCTTCTGTCGATTATCCACCGCACTTTGGCTTTGCACAGTTTGGGATTTCCACTTCAAAGTCCTTGCGATTCGGAATATTCAGGCTAAGATATGTTTTCATAAGCGTATTAGTATCGACACCGTCGATACTAGTACAATCGTAAGTTGGTCTTATGCTAGGCTACAGGGACCTCTGCAAACATTGGCTGGTTTCCTGGACATTGCTCATTTAAGAAAAATAGCTATTTCTAGCTACCACGGCTGTAAGCAGAGGTTCTACCTAAAGAATGATTGAGTAGCATTCATTTTATCTTCATTTCATCACTTTTTTGGTTGAGCATTGCGGTTAGATTACTTTTGGGTTGTTCGGATTTTTTGTAATTGCAGTACTTGAATGTTTCAAAAANAAAAATATATGGAAATATAAAATTTTTATAGAATAAAAAGCATCAGACATTTGGAAAGCTCAAACATTCAAAGTAAGCGAGCGTTCAAAAAAATCCCTCGGTCTATGGAAGGGCTAAAAGCTCGGGATATACTATATCCCGAGCATGGCCACTCGTTAGATGTCGGTTCCCGCGGCTATACCGCACACTCTCTTTCTCTCTTCTTTTTTCCATTCCAATTCGTTCCGATATTTCTTTGTTACAGGCTCTTATGTAAAAATTTTCAGTTGAACTATCATTGCGGTCATGGGAATTGCAACGAGATGTTTCCACTCACTAAGGAATATTTTTTGAGCCATAAAGGCACCAACTTCGGTGCTCGGAAGGCTACTTTTATCCGCCGTGACCTTGATGACTAAATCCCTGTTTATTTCCGATGGAGGTTTTTCAATGTCTCTCCCACATCGCAAGGAGGTAGGAAATTTCCCGAATTGAATTTCTGTGCAGATTTCATTAAATAGCCCTCTTAAATTGACAGCTCGAAATATATGCGACGCAATCATTTAAAGCACTGAGGGAGTGTGAAAGGCGGTAAGGTGGTCGTTTTGGAGTGAGGAAAAGAAATACGCAGACATTGTCTCCTTCCCGGTAAGGGTGAGACAAAGATCCAGATACCTTTGCCAATTAAACAGTCAACTGGGATACTGAGCATCCATAAAAGCTGTGCTGCAGTATTGTTTC